CCCCCTCCCTCTGCCAGCATTTTTTACTAATGTGTAATGCCAATGTAAAACTAAATCAATGATATTTAATTATTGTTAAAAGACTTTTAAAAATCACTGCAGTGTTTCGTATTAATCATCATACTGTTGTTTTGTGTTGACACATGCTAGGTATCACAATGACAATGCCTCGGACAACTTCACGACTTCATGATCAATGTATGAGCATGTGATTCTCTTCCCGTGGTGTAGACCTATTTGTGGCGTAATTATATCTTGGTGCTAACAAAATAGATTCACAGTCTTCCCATTCATTTTTACACCACGCCCCGAGGGATCACATTTAATGTTATATTTATAATGCCCCCCCCCAAAAAAAAACAACTGGGTTGGGGGGGGGGGGCATGAGAGAATAATTTCAAATTAAGATTCACAATCATATGATAAAACTTACAATTAATAAATATATTTGTATTTCAATATATTGGGGGAGGGGGGAATAAAGTGGTTAAATTTAAAAATAAAACATGGTTTAACATTACACCCTCAGCCCCCTCCCTTCCAAAAATAATAAGAAATGCTTTACATGCACTTTGCCACATAAGCGTGGAACTTACTCAATATCTTCCCAAGGTAATAAACGAATTTTAAATAGTTTTCAGTTTTAACACGAGTATAACATTAAATCTACAAGTACCGGTTAGGCCAAAAAGTTAAAGACTCGCAAAGACCATAGTTTTGCTACTTTAAATCGCTGCGGTGTACGCAGGCCACAGACCATGATTTAGCTAGGTACACCGCCACGGTGTACGCAGGCAAAAGTCAATAGTTTCACTAGGTACACCGCCGCGGTGTACGTAGTGCCGGCCAAAAATTAATGGACTTAATGAATGCAAGCCATTTATAATTAAGTTGGTATTTTTCACTAGTTCTCCAACCTACTTCAGTACTTGGTACTCTTTTCTTACTTTTAATGAGGTATGTCTTCTTGTATAAGTATAAGGTTTCAAACATCGATTATAATGTTATTGTTTAAAAAGTGCTATTTTACAGTGCACAAAGAATGTAGCTTTTTAGAGCAAAATTGAAAAGACGTGGGTGCTGGACATTTTCTTGGCCGACGCTCAAGTGGTAGATTATCTATAGAACTATATTTAAAATAGAATTTAAAAATACAATAAAATTATAAACATAAACGTATTCTTACTTGCTTTTAGATGTACGTAAAACTGTTCTTCGTGTTTCTTAAACGCAACCGGTTCATAAAAGTCTTCAAAATATGGCGCATTTCTCACCTTGACAGTAATGAATGGCTCTAAGATGGCAAATGGCAACCCAACAGGAAGTATTCGTCATAACCGTCAAGTGACCAACCGAATCTTATAAAGCCCTCACGTGACCAGCCGGGTCCGAATAGCTAATTACTACTATAGTTACCCGGGTACCTATAGCTACTCTGTTACAGGATATCTCTTAGTTTTGAACAAAGCTTGTAAAGTCCTATCAGTGCAAGCATCCTCTCAATCACACAAAGGTATAGTTACACCTTATATGATATCTTTTAGTTTTGAACAAAGCTTGTAAAATCTTATCAGTGCAAGCATCCTCTCAATCACACAAAGGTATTGTTACACCTTATATGATATCTCTTAGTTTTGAACAAAGCTTGTAAAATCCATTCAAATCACCCTCCATTAAATACAATGAAAAAAAAATAAATAAGAAGCATTCCATTCTGGAGATTGTGGTAAAAAAATAAATTCAGTTTTAATGGCAAAATCTTGTTCGCAGCAAACTTCAAACTGTGGTTAAAAAATTATATTTTGCTGAATGAGCGCTAATAGGATAGAGCTCTGTCGATTGTTATTGAATTTCCACAATTATCAACCAATTCTATATCTTACTATGAACGCAAAACTTTTTTATAATATTAAAAGCCATGAAAATATGCTTGTTTGTTGGTCATCGGTTCATTTATAAAGCGCATTTAAATCTAAAATTGTATTTTAAATAAAAGAGGCCTTTCGAATAGATTACTCAGCGCCCCATTTTAGATCCCCTAAAATTTTTCAAGATTTTCTACGAACCCTTGAAGAACACCTTCCCCCCCCTCCCCCTCCCCTTTAGTCCCTACCGGCCGGGAGAAGGGATGGTACCGCCTTCTTTGAGATCCACTACTTTAAACGTGCACTTAAAGGGAAACAAGCACTAAATTTGTTGAAAACCCAATTATAACACGATTAATGCCCTTTCCCCACTTCGTTAACCGTTGGAGGGGGGGGGGGTGACACGCGACGCCCGCCACCCCTTATTTACCCAACACCTAAGATTTACCTCTGTACACCTTCATAAAGCATACAGTGATGTGGAGGAAAACCTTGGGTTGTGACAGGCAGAACACAAACCAGATCAACTAAAAAAATAAAATGAGCAAATATTCAATTCAGAAGAAGCTTTTTTTTTTTAATGAAAACAAATTAAAATGTCTTCTTTCCAATGTTTTCATACGCTCTTATCTCAGACTGTGGGAACGAACGTTTTCTTATCTCAAGCCAAACGGTTTATGTCCTATATGACGCGGCGTAAGCTAGTCTTTAATTTCATTTGAGCAGGCATGCTCATTACACACGACATAATAATAGGACTAGGAAGGAACACATGTTACAGATTGCCAACTCATTGTGTTACAAAATATCATGAGCTGTGTTTTTTTTTGTTTTACCTCTGCACACTTAACGAATCTGCTGCTATGAATTGTGTCACTCATTCAAGTTTAGAAATGTTTCGTCTCTTTAAGTTGTACCCTAACTTGCACCAACTCTACGAAAGTTTAGAAAACTAAACGTATTAAAAGATTTGAAGAAATTGGTCAGGTGCTCTGACAAGGATTCGGGTTTCAAGTTACTGTAACGCATCTCATGCTTAAACCCACCCCGTCTTGATGTGGAGTCGTTCTAGCTTCGATTTTCAAGGTGTGCGATTGAATTAAGAACTAAAGCAAAAAAAAAAAAAAAAAAAAAAAAAAAAAAAAAAAAAAAAAAAAAAAAAAAAAAAAAAAAAAAAAAAATTGAATTAAAAAAAAAAACAAAAAAAAAAAAAAAAAAAAAAAAAAAAAAATTATTGAACAAACACGAAACACTAACACATGATACATATGTACACAGTTCTTTATTGACTAATCCAGGTAGTATTTCAATCTGCTGCTGGCGATTAAGCACACGCGCAGCCATCATTTAACCCCAGAGCCCTATTGTTATTTCTAAGAACGTTTTTGGATGTTCACTGCAACGTTCTCCATGGCTGTTCTTCCACAAACACCACCCCCCCCCCCAATATTTCTCTTCTGATCAGGCTATTTATCATACTGAGATGCTTGTTGTCAGTCTCTGTCAATCAGTTACATTAATAGAACACTCAGCCCCCATACTTCTCGTACAAACATAAACTTAATTGAGGACACGACGATTCTCATACCTTGACAGAAATATTAATTTGACAGTCATGGCTTACAACACATTTTTTTGGATTTCGAAAGCAGATTTGAATCACTGACGTCAACATGGTTTTCCAGTGAGAAAACCCTAATGTCGAATGAGTCGTTTTGGGTAAATCCGATTTGTTGTTGTTGTTTTTTTCAATAGACAGCAAAGAAAAGTAAATATTAAATTTATAAATGGAAACAACGAAAGAAAAAAAAAAACTTAAGTGCTCATTATTTTTTTTTAAACATTTTAATTTAAAGGCATGCTACATTTGAACAGAGCGTCCAGTGGGCAAAAATTAAACACTAAGGCATGGGCATTTTCTTTTTTCTAAAGTAGCCGTCATTAAAATTTCACCTAGCCCCAGATGTCTTGATACCCACACTGGTTGAACGGCTTACAGGGCCATTCACAGCTACGGCTGGGATCGACTGCCTTCAGCAAGTTGCAGTTCGGTGGCGGAGTGGTGCAAGACGGATAGACCAAGATGCATCGTTGACCAGCCGGACACCCACCACAGTTGTCCTTGATCGTGGTGGTGGGCGGTAGTGTGGTGGTGTAAGGGGCCTGTCTATTTTGTCTGTAGTTGGTCAGCCTCACGACCGCCCCTTCCAGGGGTAGCGGGTGAGAGGGTGCGAAAGACACAACCTGGAAAGAATTTAAACGTGGGACATTTTCTCAATCGTCTATTGTGAATATCAAATAACCTTTAAATTAAACAACGACTGAAAAACAGTGCGTTTTCTAAAAATCCTCTATAAAATGTAATATCGAGCAATGGGGAAGGGGGGGGGCTGAAAATTTAATAAAACAAGCGTACAAGTAATGCACTTTATACGAATCCCAATTAGTATTCCCTCCTCCCCCCCCCTCCAAGTTTTGAAACCGCACTTTTTTTTCCACGCCCCTGAGCCATATTAATATTCTAATGACTCCCCCGCTTTTACACCGCAGATTTATTTCAAAAAACTATCTGAGAACAAACAAAATACAATATCATCACATCAAACCCACTTGCGATATTTTTTTTAAAAAAAGAATCTCATTTAGTATCGTGAATTTTATTTCGTAAAATCACTGTCGTGATATTTCTTTTATTTTTCCCCTGAAAACGGGGAAAAATGATTATTATTATTTTTTTAAATATAATTTTTAAAATGCATATGCAGTTGTAAAGGATTTATAAGAAAAAATGTATGGGGGGTGAGGGGGGTAGGGTTGTTAATGAAAAAAAAAAGTTACTTGATGCAGAACTCGGTTTAAAAAATTGCCATACGGTTTCTTGAAACACAATAATTCATTTTTTAAAATGATTAACAAATAAACACTTTTTTAAAAATAAAAAAAAGCAGATTAACTTTCGTTACATGGTTTAGTCACAATTTCTTTGTGTCCTAATCACGTCATGCATTATAAGAATCTCTACATGACACGTTACACAGGGTTTCTTTCAGCTATATCTCCGGGGAGGGGGGCAGTGTACCCCCGGGGAAAATCTCTGAAAGAAACACTGGGCACGTATCAGTTGAACTACCCACCGGTGCTATTTAGGGGGGGGGGGAAATACCTTTGTTGATCATTTTAATTTTAAAATAGTTAATGACGACTATAAAATATATAAAAACTAATAAGAAAATAAACGAAGAGAATAATAGTTTATTAACTCACCATTATCAAAAGGAGCACAAAATGAATCGCCATGTCTCTACACTGACAATGTGCGTCTGTTGAATGAGTCTGGTCAGTTATGATCTCGGGGGGGGGTGTTCAGCTCTTATATAATATGTTTACATCAAGTATCATGTGTCAAATATAACGCACAGTGCAAATACCTTGCTGGTGTGAAAGTCACATCTGCAAACCCAGCACGGTAATCAGCGTTTAAACAATGTAATCAGCGCTTACGTCAAACAAATAATAAAAAAAGAAAAAAGAAACAGCAATAACCCATTTTGACGGGTTGCTAAGAAAATGTAGCAAATATTATGTTGTTACCAGCAAGAAATTTAGATATTTCTTTTTGTTTAGACCACGTTTCCTAGGATTTTAAAATAGATATCAGCCAACAGCTCACCACATTCATTTGTAAAGTACTTTTCAGGAAACCTTAGAGATACATTTTTTTTAATGCAGTGGCTTAGCTAGAGTTTGTGCCGCCAGGAAAGGGCAAATAATTTTGTGCCCCCCCCCCCTTTCCAACCTCAACGAAAAACAACAGCAGTTGGCCGATGATGCCGTCTCTTTCTATGAATCAAAGTAGTGCCGCCCATGTTGGACCGCCCTCCTCACACTTCTTCCTACGCCCTTGCATTGAGGAAATCACCACATTGTTTATCTCTGCATACATATGTTACCATGTGATACCGATGCATCATGCTTTAACAGCCGCCGATCAATACAACTCATTGTGTGTTTAGAGATTTAAACCTAAGTCTGTTGGTTGACTATAGTGCAGACGAACGTGTTTGTATTAGTGTGTTTGTGTATGTGTGTGTATATATGTATGTGTGTTTCTATGTGTGTGTGCATGTGTGTGTTCGTGTGTGCCTGCGTGCATGTGCTCGTGGGTGTGTGTCTGTGTGCATTATACAGCTGTCACACAACTGTCAAAAAATTTAAGACATGGAGCTGAACCCTTTTCTTTGCTTACAGCATTGACCCGTCTCAAAATGTAATTCAAGCTTCACATAAGACGTTGTCTGAACGTCATTTGAAGCTATCCAGTTGTTTTTTTTTTAAATGTCGTAGAATCATCTGGCGGGCTTTTACTGGGTTTCTATAATTGGTTTGTATGTTTGTTTATTTGTCCTTTTCAACTCACTGCGCTGGCAAAACTGACCTACTCACAAACCTGAAAGTCACCACCTTAACATAGAAGACATTGTGTTGTTACCGTACGTCAATAATTTGACCTTCTGCTGTGCGGTATCAAATCCTAACATTTAGAATACATTCTTTTGTAGAAATTGTTGTTGACACATCTTGAATTATAAAATCAATTCGTTTCAAATAAAATATAAAAGTGCGTGCGGCTAAAAATAAAGAAGCCATGATGTGATGTCGACAAAATTATAGAGCAACAGCTGTGGGCGGACTGTTGACATTTGAGGTGGATTAAGATTAAACCCACAACAAAGAATAACAAAACCTAATTTTTTGACAATGTTTCAATGTTACGTTTACTCGAAACACTTAAGCCACAAAATAGTAAGAAAGACATTGAAGTCAACTAGGGCTATAACAGTTTTGTCAAATTTGTGTCAAGCAGCATTATCCTTTTCTATCTACTATTGTTACATGGTAGTGTGTCTGTTTTATTTTTATGAGCTTTAAAGTTCAAATAATTTTTTTTTTCTTGTTTTGGAGGGTCTCCTGAAGGCATTCATCACTGAAGGAGTTCATTTGTGGCCGATTCCCTGCGTGATAGAGAAATGCTTTAGATGTATTTTGTGTAAATGTTATAATTCTAAAATGCTGTCTTGGTTTGAATAATATCTTTTTATGTGCTGAAAATGATTATGTACATCGGATTCCAAATAAATTTCCACTTTTTTGGATAAAAAAAGAAGCTTATCTGAATTGATCTTATCTTATATTATCTGATATTATCTTACCTTGTTACGCTATTTATTTTGTTTTACACAGCTTGGACGCTGTTGCCCTTAAATATTATGATAATTTACAGCAACGCTTAAAAAGTAATAAGTCAGGAATATCTCAAAAGTCAAAACATTGCACGAAAAAAAAAGGAAAACCATCTACACAACTGTAATCAGACCAGTTGTAACATATGCTAGTGAAACTTGGACCCTAATAAAAGGGAAGAAAACCATATAAAATACCCTGGCGAGAAAAGGTCCCCGGAAAATATACGGAAAAGCAAAGGATGAATAAGGATGGAGAAGACGAACCAACCAGGAAGTGAAAAGTTTATATGAGGATCTCACAGAAATAAAAAAAAAGTGTAGGCTATGCTGGGCAGAACACGTGTAAAGTGTCCCGAACAACACAGGAGTGAGGAGGGTGCATCACCACAACGCCCGAGAAAAACGTCTTAAAGGCAGACCTAGGTAAAGATGAATGAAAACTGCCGAGATGAATCTACAGTAGCTGAGAATCCAAGCATGGAAAGAAAAGGAATCAGTTAGGTCTGAGTGGAAGCATGTGGTGAGACAGGCCAAAGAACTACATGGGCTGCAGTTCCACTGGAATGGATGGTTAGGATGTGGTGAGACAGGCCAAAGACCTACATGGGCTGTAGCGCCACAGTGATGGATGACATAAAAATCAAGGCATAATATTTAATTGAATTTAATATACGATTTAGAGGTGTCCTAAACTGTTAACTAAAAGACATAAACAACGGGTTTGGAGAAATTTTACTTTATTAAATACAAATCAAAACATTTTAAAGTTACATATAATTTAAAGACACCTATTTCTTAAACTATCGCCATATAAAGATCATTTGATTTGTAAAGGTTGAATAGTAATCAAGAGAAGGCCTTCATTACAGTGGGGAGCCGGGTCCGAGTGTTTGTTTTTAACAATCAAAATTTAAGTATTAAAAAATTATGTTGTCGTGATAAAACTTAATTTGAATAATTAAAGCCAACCACTCCCTCCAGGTCACCCACCTGTACCTCCCCGAGATGCCTCCCTGGTGACATATGACAGAATAACAACAGCAACATCTACAGGTGAACTTGAGTGTGTGTTTTGACGAGACGCCAGTCACTTCTAAAACAGTTTTTTTTCTCTATCAGAATATTGTTTTTCTTTAACATACGTAGGGCTTTTTTTTTTCATACTTTCTTTCTTTCTTTCTTTTATTTTTTTAAAGTTTAAGTTATATTGTATTATTAGATCGTACTTTCACTATTGGCTTTTGTCGTTTGTTGTAGCATAGTCTCACTGGCTTCGATAGATTGGAATAATTGAGTCACTGAAGAAGGGATGGCGTTCGAGTTAGGCAACAACACTTCCGGTGAAATGGAAGAGCCGGGGTGGATTTCTTGTACGTTGGTAATACGAGTTAAGTCACTGCTGGAAAATGTTGCATCAGGTAGTATTGCACTGCGGAAAACACTAGGCTCATTTAAAGGGAGCGATGAAGAGGTTGTTTCATTGTAAGAGAACACCATGACGCTATCGTCTGAAATATTGGATAGTGCTGAAAGAGGCTCTGAAATCCTAGAGAAGGATGTGGAATTGGACTGACTTGGTAGTGAGATAGCTGTCTCGGAGCCCAGTATGTTATATGATGAAACAGTTTCCCGAGGCTGTAAGGAAGTTGTTTTTTGTTCAATGAACTCGGCTTTGCTGTAATCAAACGTGTACAGTGGTAAATTCGTCTGTTCCTGGTGGTCGAATACCAACGCAGGGGTTTCTGACGCTGCGCTGCTACGAGTGTTGTCATCGCTAGACAACAAATCACTTGAAGATGGTTGCAGATATATGCGTGTTGATGCCGTGTTAGCGAGCTCGGTGGCTGCCGTGTCTCCGTAAGAAAACGACAGCTCGGGTGCCCTATCTACATGCTCATCCGTAAAAGCCGGGCCCGCAATGGATTGATCAGCATTAAAAGAGAATGATAACTCTGGTTGCGTGGGCTGGATGGTTGACAGTGAAGTCTTCAGTTCATCTGCGTAACTGTCTTGGGTTTGTTGCTGAGACGGGAGGTCAAAGGTAAATGCATTTTCACTGGAAGCGGCAACCGCGTGTATCTCTGTATTGGATATGGACTGGAGAACAGGTTGAGTACCGGTGATAAAATCTGTATCCGATGTTGTATCAGTAGTGTACCTAGGGGTAACCGCGTACAGCGTGTCATTCGATTCAGACTGCTCGAGTGGCAGCGTTGATTCGTTTATTTGGTTTAGTATTTCATCAGTAGGAGAGATGTTATTTAACTCCGTATTCGATCCTTGAATCATCGGTGAATTGGTGTCTAGGTCGATCGCGTAGCTGGTGACAGCTGTGTAGCTTTCAAAGAAATAATTAGAAACCGACTCGATGTATCCGGACAGTGAATCAGATGGTTTGTCGTTATTGAGTTGTACAGGGGAATTCATTGTGGTCTGTCCTGTAGGTGGCCCTGTAGAAGGAAACGCATCTGATAACGATAAAAGTGTGGGCGCCATCGCGCCATTTATTTCTGACCGGGTAGCTACCGACTGTGTGAGATTGTCACCTACTTGTGCCGCAGGAATCTCGCTCGAGAGCTGAGAAGTTCTCTCGGTTTGAGATGGATTGAAATAAAAAGAGTAGCCGTGTGATGTCATCAAATCAGATGGTTGATATGATGGCATATTTGATGGTTGATATGATGGCAGATTTGATGGTTGATATGATGGTAGATATGATGGCATATTTGATGGTGGATATGATGGCAGATTTGATGGTAGATATGATGGTAGATATGATGGCATATTTGATGGTGGATATGATGGCAGATTTGATGGTTGATATGATGGTTGATACGATGGAAGATATGATGGAAGATATGATGGTTGATATGATGGTTGATATGATGGCTGATCAGGATTTGAATTGTACCCATTCACAGAAGACAACCCCGATGTTGAGTCAGATTGGGGCAATATTTCAAATGTTTGGGTATGCGAGTAGAAGATATCTGTTGGTGAGAACGAGAAAGTATCCAAAGAGTTGATATCAGGGTGTGATGACATTAAAGGGGTTGCTAAGTAACTGACTTCCTCCACTGAATCTTTAGATACCATTTCGAAATTATTTTCAGAGCCTAATGCTAGCACGTGATCAGAATGACCGCTTAAATCACTTGAGAAATGGCTATGCGGTAAAGAATTTGTTGACCTATCCGACTTCCGGACTTCATCGGGTGTTTGGGACAGGGTCACTTCTAAAGCCTCTTGTGTTCGGGACGTGGTCACTTCGATAGCATCAGGTGTACGGGACGTGGTCACTTCGATAGCCTCGGGTGCTCGGGACGAGGTCACTTCGATAGCCTCGGGTGCTCGGGAAGTGGTCAATTCGATAGCCTCAGGTGCCCGGGACGTAGTCAGTACGATAGCCTCGGGTGCTTGGGGCGTAGTCACTTTGATAACCTCAGGTGTTTGGGACGTGGTCACTTCGATAGCCTCGGGTGCTCGGGACGAGGTCACTTCGATAGCCTCGGGTGCTCGGGACGAGGTCACTTCGATAGCCTCGGGTGCTCGGGACGAGGTGACTTCGATAGCCATGGTTGCTCGGGACTCGGGACGAGGTCACTTCGATAGCCTCGGGTGCTCGGGAAGTGGTCAATTCGATAGCCTCAGGTGCTCGGGACGTAGTCAGTACGATAGCCTCGGGTGCTTGGGGCGTAGTCACTTTGATAGCCTCAGGTGTTTGGGACGTGGTCACTTCGATAGCCTCGGGTGCTCGGGACGAGGTCACTTCGATAGCCTCGGGTGCTCGGGACGAGGTCACTTCGATAGCCTCGGGTGCTCGGGGCGAGGTAACTTCGATAGCCATGGTTGCTCGGGACGAAGTGGTCACCTCGCTACCCTCGGGTGCTCGGGACGAGGTCACTTCGATAGACTCGAGTGCTCGGGACGAGGTCACTTCGATAGCCTCGGGTGCTCCGGACGTGGTCACTTCGATAGCCTCGGGTGCTCGGGACGAGGTCACTTCGATAGCCTCGGGTGCTCGGGACGAGGTCACTTCGATAGCCTCGGGTGCTCGGGACGTGGTCACCTCGATAGCCTTGGGTGCTTGGGACGTGGTCACTTCGATAGAGTCTCCTGGTACACAAACGTAGAAAGGGTTACACCGAGACCATCCACAGTTCAGGCCAGGGTTGGACAGCTGAGCTCGCAGGCAAGACTCGCTGGGCGGTACACACGGTGGGTAATACTTTTCACACAGTTGTCCAGGCAGACACGTTCCCTTGCACGGGTCAGGCTTTGCTGTGGTCGTGACCGCGACTTGTGCGTCTATGGTTTGACCTGACTGTGAGCTAGATGGCAAAGAAGACATTGTTTTAGCGGGTGTGATCGCAGTATCTGCATGGGATGGTGTTTGAATGTTATTTGACACGAGTGAGAGGGATTGTTGAATGCATCGGTATTGTTCCGTGTCTGAGAAAGGACATCTGATATTTGAGTCCAACTTTTGGAAGCTAAGACAGTCGTCATAGGAATATGGGCTCGGGATGTAGAACTTTTCACAGACTTGTCCATCAAAACAACTCGGACATCCTGAAATTGACGGCGTCTGAGAGGCTGGCAGTGATAGTGTTGTAGATGGAGACGAGAGGAAGGATGGTTGATATGATGTATCACTGGACGGTATGTCATTAAGATGTGGTGTGTTAAACAACAACCCATTTGAAAGGAAAGGGTCATGTAATGAACGGTCCAAGACTGCTTGGCTCGAAAGTAAATTAGATAGTGTGCTTAACAGGTTCTCTGTCTGGCTGTCCAAATTATTTACCATCAGTGAAGCATCGTTGGGAAGCGCACTAGCAGGACCTGCTACTGAAGTCTGGCTCTCTGAATTATATGTATGTGAACTATCAACTTCTTGACTGGGTAAATTATATGTATGAGAACGATCAACTTCTTGACTGGGTAAATTATATGTATGAGAACTATCAACTTCTTGACTGGATAAATTATATGTATGAGAACTATCAACTTCTTGACTGCGTAAATTATATGTATGTGAACTATCAACTTCTTGACTGGGTAAATTATATGTATGAGAACTATCAACTTCTTGACTGGGTAAATTATATGTATGTGAACTATCAACTTCTTGACTGGGTAAATTATATGTATAAGAACTATCAACGTCTTGACTAGGTAAATTATATGTATGTGAACTATCAACTTCTTGACTGGGTAAATTATATGTATGTGTGCTATCTAGTCCTTTACTGGGAATATTATATAAAGATGTATCACTCGTAACGAACTCTTCTGAAGTTGTAATCCAAATTTCGTTGAACAATGAGCTTTGAATCAGTTCATTGCTCGGAATACCGTGTGAAGCCGGCATAACAATTGTGTAAGCTATCGGGACACACATTTCTATCGGAGCTGGCCGCGGTGAAGGACATACGATGTTTGTCAGGATCTGTTGCAAGCGAATACATTCTTCCATCGGAACTGTTCCTTCGGGATACACTGTCTGACAAGCCTGGCCCACAGGACAATCAAAGCAACCTACGGTCGAGCTGATTATGTCTGCTGCAACTTCACTTGTTCTCTCAGCTGATGATGTACTCATAGTTTCTGGTGATGCAGGGTTGATTGAGTCAGCAACTGAAGTACTGAGTGTTTCCGCTGCTGTAGGGTTGATGGTAACAGGTATTAAAGTACTAAATGGGTCAACTGCTGCCGGGTTGACTGTATTAGCTCCTGAAGTACTGAGTGTGTCCACTGCTACAGGGTTGACTGTATTACCTTCTGAAGTACTGATATTGTCCACTGCTACAGGTTTGATAGTATCAGCTACTGAAGTGCTGCGTGTGTCCACTGCTGTAGCGATGATAGTATTAGCTAATGAAGTTCTATATGTGTCCGTAAACCCTGTTCCATAATATGTTTCGATTGACAACACATTGCTTTCTTCATCTGCTGCTCTTGCGCTGCTTTCTATATGTAAAATCTCTCCGATGCAGATACTCATGGGTTCACATGGAACAAACTGACATTCCTCATTCCTTGCCAGGCAGTCTTTGTTGAGAGGACATGATTTATAAAATACCTGGCACGTTTGTCCTTCTGCGCACCCCGTGCAGGTATTTTGTGGCCGGATTGGCGCAGTGACTGTGCCGGGAGCAATCGTCCCCCCTTGGTCGTTTAGGATATCAATCGGCTCCAGATCAAGTTCTATAATTCCAGATATCCGATAACGCCGTTTGAATGGCCTCATGTCCGTGGTGGTAGCCAACAACGTCACCTAAACCATTTGCATGAAAGAATTTTTTTAAAATTGACCTTGTTTCTATTTTTACATAAGCTTATTGTCTATTTCAATATTAAAATAATGTATTATATTTTTTTATTTAAATCTACATACATTTAAAATAAAAAAGCAAACTGATAGCATTATTTAAATTAAATTAAATACATAGGACTAAATTATTATTTTTTTCAAAGAGTTTTTTTTTTTTCTTTGTGTGCTAAATCTTACCACGAAAACGGCAAGGATCGTTCTTAGCTTAATCATGTCAGCTTGTGTGACGAATCCAATGAATTGAGATAGTACACCAAACAAAGACTTGAGCCGGGTTATAACAAAACACAAAAAAAAATGTTTCTTATCATAGACATCCGTCTGATCTCTAGAATGAGTTGCTCTACACGCAAACTATACGTCCTACAGTACTGCTCCAATTTTAACTATTCATCCTGTCTTTATTATACTATTCACTATTTATTTCGTCTATAACACTATTCATCCTATAGCCTCAAATTCAATTACTATTTAGTTATTTATAATATTTCAAGTCAATTATGGCCACGAGCGAATAAAATTCGCTGATTCGAACACACGCAGCCAACAACACAGCCAGCTGTTTGGCAACCCACGAACCGAGAAAATCCAACCGCGAAAAAAAAACCAACACTCCACTAACTTCTAACATCTTTAAATATTCTCTTCCTTCTCTTTAAACCAGACAATCTAAAATTATGACCCATACGTTCGTTGGGGGTGCGTTCACAAATATGCGAATGTTGTTCACTTAACATTCAACGATATAAAAAAATAACGTAGCGCTCATATCGCTAGCACTGTAACGGCGACACGTTTAGAAAAGCAACATTTACACTTTTAAAAAAAAAAAAAAAAAAATCTATAATCCATCTTTAGCTTAGACAAACTAAGCCACGCCCGTCAACTTTGACGTCTACGTTTTTGTGGACTCTCCCGTAGGCGGATCTTTTATCATCGCAGGATTAACTTTTTGTTTCTTTCATTATTTGAAAGCTAATCTTTGGGGCGTAAATAAATTTGTGTACAGAAGAATCAATGTTTCATAAATACATTTTATCATTAAAAGCCTTACTAAATCAGTCGTAAAAAATTCCCGAAATTCATATACAGCATTTAAAATTGGTAAACTCTCTTTTTTTGTTGCTGCCAAGGGTTTGGTTTACAAACAAAACGTATTAATAAATGTTGTGTTTTTTGTGTGTGTGCATAGTGTTTAAATTTTTTTGTGTGTGCATAAAGTGTTTAAATTTTTTTGTGTGTGCATAAAGTGTTTAAATTTTTTTGTGTGTGCATAAAGTGTTTAAATTTTTTTGTGTGTGCATAAAGTGTTTAAATTTTTTTGTGTGTGCATAAAGTGTTTAAATTTTTTTGTGTGTGCAAAAAGTGTTTAAATTTTTTTGTGTGTGTGCATAAAGTGTTTAAATTTTTTTGTGTGTGCATAAAGTGTTTAAATTTTTTTGTGTGTGTGCATAAAGTGTTTAAATTTTTTTGTGTGTGTGCATAAAGTGTTTAAATTTTTTTGTGTGTGCATAAAGTGTTTAAATTTTTACATCAGTTTTAAAACAGTGATTAATGCATCGCTTTTATTTACGGTAGAATTGGCCTCTCTTAAAAGCAAAACCAAAAAAATGGTTTCTATAAATACTTTTAAAGAAACAAAAAAAAAAATAAATAAATAAAAATAAAATTAAAATTGCACAAAATGTTTATCATTAAAGATTTTAATTGAAGAAGAATATATAATTATATACGCCGTGAAATACAATTGAGTTAAGTCAATTTGTATGTTATCATCAAAAGTATTTTTTTAACAAATATTTTTAACTCAATAATCACTTTTAAACGATTTCATTTCGTTTGCTTCACATTTAAGCTATATATTTTTTTAATAACAAGCAATCACTATCAATGAGTCTCACTATTGCACAGCGTGGGGTCCACCGATGTAGCCCTTCATTATTTCGCAAGAGGGGGTTGCTTCGGATCAATTAAGTGCTCCTGTAAAAGAAAAAGAAAAAAAAAAGAAAAAAAAAAGGAAGTTTTTTAAATAGATTTACACCCCCCCCCCTTTTTTTCCCCACTCATCATTCAAATCAACGTATATTTTACATATAGTTATATTAAAATGACTAAGTAACTATACACATATATACACATCTTTATCAATTAAAAAAAAAATCAAATTTATTTTATTTCTAACATAATGTTAATTTTTTAAATATTAAACTATACTAAATACGACAGGATGAAAAAGAGTATGATGTTTTTTGTGTTTTTGTTTTTAAATGTTGCCAATTTTCAAGTGTCCTTCATTGTTATCAAATGGGTTGCCTTTTCTTCCGGACACAGTGTGCAAATATAATATAACATGTTAACGGTGATAAAACTTTACCAAAAAAAAAAAATTAATAAAAAAAGAAGACCCCACACAAAATGATTCGTTTTTAGCTGATGTTCAGTAATATGAAACAAAAAGACTACTGTGAGAATTATAAATATTTAGGCCGTCGTAATGGTTCATAGTTCATAGTTTACAGTATTGCCAATCAAAATCCATGTTTCGTCCCCGATGACTTAAACTGATAATTCATGTCATATGTTGTTGAAAAGGATTAGTCCAAGTATCATCCCCCCAACCCAACCCTCAAAAAATATTTAAAAAATCAAACGTTACTATTTTGTTTAAAATAGTACTTTATGCGTACAAGGAGACCTTTTAACTGTTCACCTTCTTTGGAAAAGATGATTGCAATGATCCACCTCATCAAACCGGATGATTTGGCTTAAACTAATACTATGCGTACCAGAGTACATTTTAACACTTCACCTTATTTGGAAAAAACTCCAACAAACAACTGCAACTGCATGAAGTACTCACGGGCAGCTCGTCAATGCAGATGTACACAGGTCGACGTGTCCCAGCACATGCCGGACAATCAGGTGATGGACTGCCCCCTGGCGGGTAGAAGACCTTACACACCTGTCCGGTCAGGCAGCCTCCGCATTTATTTGGATCGGCAGTAGGCGCCGGCGGTGCGGTCTGCCAAAGTAGTGCATGGCATTGTAAGAGATAATTTAAACAAATAATAAATTAAAAAAAAGAAAAAATAAATTAAATAGAAAAAGACTTTATACCAAACAAGTGTTTAGTCTAAACACATTAAAGAAAATAAAATAATTTAAATCATTTACGATTTCTTAAAATGGATTACGCAAAGAGAGTCGGTGCAGACGTGTAGATTAGCACTCTATATAGCCAAAGGATTCCAATTGAACATAGACCTAGCTGAAATCTGTTTTATAGAGTTTAACAAAATACATTCTGCCCAGAACTTCTTCTGTAAAACATTGCCATTGGAAAAATACATGGCTAATAGCTCTTTGATTTGAAATAATATGTTTTAGTCATAATATTTAATTTCATTTTAAATACAACATATTTTTGTGCTCAGTTTTTGTTTTTTGTTTTTTGTTTTGGTTTTTTTAAAATGATGCAACATCTCACCTTGATGAGCCTTACACTGGCAACGACTGTTGATATCACCTGTTTGAAATATTGCATTCAAACAATTTTGAGTTTTCGTGGTTTTTTTTTACTTTCTATATTATTTAGTCGTTTATAACGAATATTTGTCAGTCTCAGCAAATACAAGTCTTAGTCTTAGTTACAAAAAGAAAAAACAACCTACCAAGTTTAATATATTAAAAATGAGTATGTTAATTTTGTGTATGATACTCTGGAGGAGCTGCCATGTCAGTAGACAAAACTTTATTTACGACAAACATAAGCAAACGCAGTGTCTACTTATATTATATGCAATGCACACATACTTTGACTCTGCTAAAAAAAAAAAGCCAGCAAGACACACAGAAATATAAAAACAAGCCACAAAATAATTTTTGTTAATACGGCGTAGCATTATTTCACTACACATTAACAAAAAATACCCGATCCTTAAACAGATAGTAATTCACTAAACTACACTGGGCAGCCCCAAAGATGGAACAGACCATTTCATATGAGAAGATATCAGTTATGCTTACCGTGACCAGAATGACACCGAGTGTTAACCTCATTGCAAGTTTTTGTTCAAACAGCTTTTGTCAATATGTCAGCCCTCCACCGGTTGCTTAGAAAGTTTCCATCAAGCACCATCGTAGTTTTATAGACTCTAACACAGCCGGCTATTGAACCGAATCTATAGGTACAAGCCCTTCAATGGCTTTTACAAGTGCCAATACAACGACAATGTGTCTTTTGATAGCAGGTTCATAGTTTTGATTAAAAAAAACGAGCGAAGCTTCATCTTAAACACTATTTGTTGTAAAACTAGTACCCCCCCCCCCCAAAAACAAAAAAAACACACACACAACCCCCCAATAATCCGCTATAGGTGAATTATATCTTACAAGAAAAACTATTATTATTATTATGTTGAGCATACAAGCGATGATAACAATAATATTCTTACTGAGAAGAGCTTTTGAGTGTGATTCTCATCTAACTAGAGATGTGCAGAGACCAAGAGCGCCACAATAACAGTGCGCCAACAGACCGGTTAGATCTGTTTCGCTCTCTGTCGGAGGGTGTGATCGCCATGAAAGACAATCCTTCGATCAGTAAGTCCACGGTTGGGGTATCGATATACCTGTACCCGCAGGTGTTGTCTTACCTTGCGTCAGCACCTTAGGTAAACTAGTCACTTGATCATCGACATCCACCTGTCCAGATTCTACACAGGTAATTGACACGTCTCGAGTTTTTATTATACTTTAGGTGGTTAGTTGTTTTGTTTTTTAAATATATATATAATAGTACTTCAGTGGTGAATTCCGGTGAAAATGTTTGTTTAAACAAAAAATAAAGGTCTTCGACGGTGAAATTAGGTGAAAATAGTTCAAAATTAATCTGGCGTGCAATAATAAAAAAGAAAAAAAATATCTAGTTCATGATGACATTAGCCGATACAAAAACTAGGGTTTATAAAACCTGGAGGGGAAGTATGGCGGGAAACAATACGTTTACATAATTTAAATACATATATTTAATGACTGGTAGCAATGTCAAAATGAAATAAATGCATTATATTAATGATGACTGTTGGAAACCAATGTTTTATGCATGCGTTCGTACAAACACTGTGGTCACCACGAGGTATCAGATTTCCATAAACGGATTTGCATGAAAAAAATCGAACGGATCTTGATCAGTATAGCATAGCGGTTCTCCACCTTTGGGTCGTGACCCCTTTTGGGGATCGAACGACCCTTACCTTAGGGGTCGCCTAAGACCATCGGAAGACACACATTTATGAAGAAGCAATGAACATAATTTTATGTTTGGGGGTCGTTACAACATGAGGAGCTATATTAAAGGGTCGCGGCATTAGGAATGTTGAGAACCACTGGTTTAGCATGATTTGGTCGACGACACGTGATTCCAATAAATAGTTTGCTTATGTCTTTAATTTTTAGGCCTCATAATTGACGAAATCGTAACGCAAAGCTAAGAGCCCCGTTTGTCATGACCTGCATGCTTAAACAAGAATACCGGGTGGATGAGATTATTCAGCGACGCGGAGAGAGGCAATTTTCTGTGTAGGGAACCAGCTTATAATCCTAAAAAGAATAATTCCAGGCCTTGATGTTTTCGTCCTGCAAAGTCTACGCCATCTTCACACTCTGACGGAGGGATGCCAGCAATGTTAGCAATAATTAATAGACAATAAACGAATTTTTAAATTTAAAGACATTCATTTTAATTAGAAAACTGATGAATTAATTTTATTTAACTGTCATCTCCTCCTTTTATCCACAAAGGAAGACATCTGTAGTCCGGAACTGCTTGGCATCCGGTTCTGCTATCTCCATGATAACATTTGGGTTGGAAGACAACACACCTCGACAGGTGAGAGCAGGCTAGGGGACAAAAAGGGGGTAGGGGTTCAACGCTCTTGTCATCCGTACATTGGAACACGGACTGGCACGGCTGCGGGGGTCTGCAGGCGAGAACTTCCCGGCACCGCTGTCCCGGTCTACAGCCTCCACATTCGTTGTCCCGTACACACTGGAAACTGGGGCAGGGGGCCGTCACACACACGATACCCGTGTTGATGCACACGTAGCCTCGCGGGCAACCGTTGCACTGATCGACCTGGTGATGGTACAACATGTTCACAATTCTTAATTTTTTTTTTAAAGTGGCATTTTTTGTTTAATAGGTTTTAGAACTTATATAAAAAATATCACATGCCAAAAAAAATATTTAAAATTTAAAGATTTTTAACTTTTTTTTTTTACTTAATTTTTAAAAAAATATATATATAAGACGCCCCTGAATTTTGGAGGGAATTTTTCGAAGAAAATTAGTCTTAAAGTGTTCATTAATACATATAAAGTTTTGTAGAAATAACCCACCTTCCTGCACTCGTAGACATCGCGACATTTCCTCTCCGCTAAATCGCCTGGACGCGGTGCCGGACACTCATTCCCAACGTACACGCAGTCCTGGTTAGGTGGACACGGTCGAGGTCCACACAAGTTTCTTGAAACACACTGATACCTTCATATTCGAATACGAGGATCACACATTAGACGAATTGTTTGACAAACTGACACCTTCACATTCGAATATAAGATTCACACATCAGACATATTGGTTGACACACACGGATACCTTCACATTCCAACACCAGGATCACACATTTTACTAATTGGTTGAAACTTTCATATTCGAATAAGAGAATCACACATTAGAACAATTGGTTGACACACGCTGATACCTTTACATTCGAATACCGGAATCACACATTAGACCAATTGGTTGAAATGATGAATCTTTTAAATAGTAAAATTAATCGTTTTCATATTAAAATAAATGAATTATAAGCGCTACCTTTTTTTTACCTTTATTAAATTTAGGGACATTTAACAGTAAAAAATACGATGTGACATTGTTGAAGTTACTAAAGTTATTTGAGTCTCAATATATGGCAGATTTGGGTAATTAAATAAACGTTGCAACTCACCTGTCACCGTAACCTGTTTGGACACATCTCTCGTCGGAGCGACACTTCAGACACTCGTTACGTATGCATTGGGCTACGAGGATCAGGATACACGCCCGTCCAGGCGGGCAGTAGGGCGCCCTTAGGTCGCAGGTGAAGCCTTGTGAACAATGAAACGCAGACAGTTACGCGTCATAACAAATACTGTCACAATGGAAAACATTGGCAAAGATTCACGTTCTAGCGCAGCGTTTCTCAACCTGTGGGTCACGATCCCTTTGGGGTTCGAACAATCCTTAAGCAGAGGTCCATCGGAAAACACATATTTATAAGAGATCAACGAAAATAATGTTATGGTGTTGGGGGTTAACCACAACATGAGGAACTGTATTAAAGGGTCGTGCCATTAGGAAGGTTGAGAACCACTGTCCTAGCATGACAGTGCTTGTGATTTAACTGTTAGCTAGTAGAGTAGAGCATATGCACTGTGTAAGTGCACACCTGTTAGAACCTTACATCAGTTGTGTGTTCATTTGAGTTGAATAGAAACTAACAACTGAAGAGGTGACAAAAGAACACAAGAGAAACATAAACCATTTAGTATTAAATTCTACATAAGCCTGTCAACAAGCCCCACTAGAACGGAAGAACTTAATTGACATGCCTATAATTAAATCGACGAGGTAGCCAAGCACACGAAAGTTAGCACATTGTCTTGTATAAAAACGGCATGGTTCAGTTCTAATGGTATTTTACAGTTACGTTGAGCCAATTTCAACCATATCCGGAAATTTGTTTGAAAGAAATTTCGTCGACGGAAAAATTGATCGACGGAAATTTGGTCGAACGGAAATTTGATCGAATGTTATTTTCAGCGCACACGATCAAATTGTGCACGTCAAATTACATTTTGAACGCATTATTTTGTTTTACTATCTAGTAGAGTGCATCAAAAAAAAAAAAGAAATTTGACTAACATTTGATGGTGTAAACTGAAAAAATCTATCAAATTTCCGCTAAGAAACATAAACACACCCCCCCCCCCCCAGGGTCATGTTACCTCGGCGACAAGGCGGGTCGCAGACGACTGGTGGAACAGGCGGGGTGCAGAGACGACCGCAGCCTGCACAACATTTCCGGTCGTCTGGGCAGTCGTAGTCGTTTTCACAGAAGATACCACCACACACGCTGACATCGCCCTGGAGACACACCATCAGTGGTAGACATGTCGATATGAAATGTGAGGGAATTACTGTATTATAGTTTAGCTTTGTTAAACCTAATCATAAGTGGTTATGTCAACTTAATTCAAATCTCATCCTAGTATGCCTAAAAAAGGTGTCTTTTAACTTCAATTAACATTCGAATGTACCTAAAAATGTTGGCTTTTAATTTCAATAAACGTTCTATTGTATCTAAAAGGTGTAGTAATTCACGTGGACTAAAATATGTTTGATAAACGATCAGATAATAAATTCACAATATGGCTAATAAATGTATTACGGTAGGTTTGCAGAAGAAATTTCAAAGCGAAATAAGGGGAAGTAAGGAGCGTTTTGTTGGGGACTGAAAATAGTTTTCCTCGATAACCGAACCTTACCGACGGACAGGATCCTGGCTTCTCCGGCACCTGCGCGAACCCCCTGCAGCAAGAGCCCCCTCCACGCTGGTCATCCACACAGGTGGAGCCCCTGGGACATCGACTTGTGGCGTACGGTCCACGACACTGGAGGGCGGTGTAGGGGGAGCTGGGAATCGGCCCATCCACTAGCAGGGCTTCTTGATATCCTCGCCTTCGACACTGGAAGTCTATGCCTGGTGGAAATAACAGCAAGAATCGGAAACCTTTTGATTTTTTAGGTTGATATTTTAAGATAAGATAAGTTAAGATAAGATATTTATTGATCCAAATAAATGACATTTGTGTTTTTCATTCATCTTTCATAATTTTTCAGACCCCAAATCCCTTTTTGAGTTTTTCGATGTTCCTTAAAATTAGTCTGTAGCAAGATTGTTGAGTTCTTGAGTGTGAGTTTGTAATTATGTACAGGGTTTTAGCTTTCTGTTTGAACGGAGTTTTCGTCCCCTACCCCCCCCCCCAACCCGCCAGATTCACTCCTTTTGTCTGTAGCCGATTTGCCTTTTAATGGTTGCTTCGCTCTCACCATTTGTTGACAAGGCGGAGTATCCATTTTTTCCAACATGGCAGATATAGATATGTCTTTGTTTAGGCCACCAAGGCAGATATAGATATGTCTTTGTTTAGGCCACCAAGGCAGATATAGATATGTCTTTGTTTAGGCCACCAAGGCAGATATAGATATGTCTTTGTTTAGGCCACCAAGGCAGATATAGATATGTCTTTGTTTAGGCCACCAAGGCAGATATAGATATGTCTTTGTCTAGGCCACCAATGGACACAAAATCCATTTAAAAAATGAAAAGTATGCACAAATTAAATCAAGTTGTCCCGCAGTCAAAAAGAAAATGTTCACTTTCATAAAGTCCCCCCTGATTGTCCTTCGCTGTGTAAGCGTAAAAATTAAAATTTGCCTATAATTTAAAGGTCAACTCATTCTACTAAGAATAAATATTAAGCCAGAAGCTTTTACGTTGTTTTTCCTAGTTTTACGCAGCGTGTTCCCCTTTGTTAAAGAAGACTGGTCTAACTCCCAATATGGTATTGATAATACTATCATCCTAGTGAATTCTTTGTATTTAAAATCTGAGTCATTTACTGGTAAAATTATTGGTCGAACTAGTTTTTGAAGTACGTAAAAGAAATCAACATCAACGGTTGCGAATTTATAAATCTTCGCTTGCAATATGAACGTAATTCTCAATTTGAAAACGAAAAAAAAAAAAAGTATAAAAAATTGATATAGCCGCTCTTGAAATAGTTCATTTATTTCTGGCTAAAGAAGTTAGTGCACGTGTGATTGACTAGACACCTATTTCTGGATATATAAGCTGGTACTCATGTTATGTACATCTATTTGTGAATATATGCTAGTACATATGTGATGGACTAGATACTATTTCTGGATATACTAGTTAGTACACACGTGATGGACGAGACACTTATTTCTGATTAAGTTAGTTAGTACACAAGTAATGGACTAGAGACTTATTTCTGGATATACTAGTTACTGCACATGTGACGGACTAGACACTTACGGTCATCGATCAGATTCCTGCTGACACACTGGACAGTCGGCTCGCACGTGCCACATTTGAACACGACCCTGCACTCGGTGTCACTGGTGCACCTAATGGTTGCACACGGGTTGGAGATGTTGACCGAAGGAGGCTGCACTGGAACAGGCAAGGTGTCAAAAAAAATGATGAGAAATTCAGGGAGGACTGCGTTCAGGTTTCAGCAAGAAGAAATATACATAGTACACAGGGTAGAGGACACAGTACACAGGGTAGAGGACAACAGTACACAGAATAGAGGACAACAGTACACAGGTTAGAGGACAACAGTACACAGGGTAGAGGACAACAGTACACAGGGTAGAGGACAACAGTACACAGGGTAGAGGACAACAGGACACATGGTAGAGGACAACAGTACACAGGGTAGAGGACAACAGTACACAGGGTAGAGGACAACAGTACACAGGGTAGAGGACAACAGTACACAGGGTAGAGGACAACAGTAAACAGGGTAGAGGACAACCGTACACAGGGTAGAGGACAACATGGAAAAGGACAACACACACACACACACACAAAAGTGAACGTTTCGGCCAAAAGACCAAAGAAACACAAAGCCTAACACTCTTGGCTTGCTGTAAAGCTATTGAAGCGACAGGAGAAGGCAGAGACATATTCAATGACGAAAGTAAGGCGTCCAAACAATGACCATTTAACTACTTGGTAGGATACGACTTGCAGTGGGAATTGAAAAAAAAAGTTGGGGTTTATTGGGTGGGGGGGGGGTTGGTGTGCCCTAAAAGCCATGTAAAAAAATATCTATATCTAGGTAGCGGTGGCATTTGTGGTCATCCGATGGCTTTTTTTTTGTTTGTTCGTGTCGGAGACAGGAGTGACAATATCTACGCTAACGCTTGCTAGAATGATTTACAGCTGAAAAATGTCCATCGGCTTAAGCTAAGACAGACCATTAGGGAGATGTTTCACAGCTAAGAAGATCTGTCGGTTTAGCCCCTTTTGCTATTTTCTATTTTTACGAGGAGATATCCAGTGAGTGGGGGGGAGGGTCTTTATAGTAAAATATTTCTTTAGTATAGTCGCAGAAATAAACGGTGCTGCGCTAAAAGACAAGGGCTAGACGTAATTCATATACAAGTGTGGTGCTTCAATGTTAACTAAATGGTAAACATATATACCGAATGCCACAACGAAGACCAGTAAACACTTGATACAAAATTGATGGCAAAATGTTTATAAAAGTGGCAAAAAAAAAAAAAGAAAGAAACTTGACCAGTTCAACAATAAAGGTCAACAGAATTTGGTTTCCCAAGTTTGAGATCCCCTCATTCATTGACAAGCCGCGGTATCATTTTGTTTGTCACGCTTTTGGGTAAAAAAAAAAAAAGTCGTATAATCCTAGCTCGCTGAGCAGGTTGTTAGCGTGGCAATCGGTGGAGAAATGGTTTTGTTCATATAGAAGAAATTATGGTTTTGTTCATATAGAAGAAATTATGGTTTTGCTCATAAAGATAAATGTTTTCTTCATCGAGGGAAATGGTTTTGTTCATAAAGCGAAATGGTTTTGTTCATTTAGAAGAAATGGAATTGTTCATATAGAAGAAATGGTTTTGTTCATATAGAAGAAATGGTTTTGTTCATATAGAAGAAATGGTTTTGTTCATATAGAAGAAATGGTTTTGTTCATATAGAAGAAATGGTTTTGTTCATATAGAATAAATGGTTTTGTTCATATAGAAGAAATGGTTTTGTTCATATAAAAGAAACGGTTTTGTTCATATAGAAGAAATGGTTTTGTTCATATAAAAGAAATGGTTTGCTCATATAGAATAAATGGTTTTGCTCATAAAGATAAATGATTTTTTCACACAGATAAATGGTTTTGTTAATAAAGCGAAATGATTTTGTTCATATAGAAGAAATCATATTGTTCTTACAGAAAAAATAGTTCTGTTCATATAGAAGAATGGTTTGTTCATATATGTAGAGCAATGCAGTATATCTTTGTCGTCTTTTTAAAAAAAAAAATGTTAAGCGACCAGGTCGGGTCACAGACAACACGTGATCAATCATACCTACCAAAGTCGGGAACGGCGCAGACGTTGTCACCACAGTTATTCCTGCAGCATTTCTGGGATCCCCTGCAGTCCCTGTCACTTCTGCACAGCACCCCAATACACCTGGGATCTGCATCTGACACCTGTGGGTTAAAATCTGGATTGATTCTAGATGCTTGAATGTGGTGGTGTTTTTTTATAACGTAAAAAGTGCTGAACAGTCTACAAAGTTTAAATAGAAGATCTAAATCCTTTCTTTAAAAAAAATAGTCTTAATCTGGCGTCCTTCAGCCTCAAAAGATTCTTTTAGCTACAGAATTGAAATTTTGAAGAAAAAATTTATAAAAAAAACTTTTGGAGACACAACCCCCCTTCCCCCGGTAGTTTTAGTGTCAAATTAACTAGACACAGACATTGAGCCGGTGGGTTACTACTAAGCAGTCAATTTCTTTCTTAAACTATAGGGATAATTACAAAATTATTGTTGTTGGGTTTCTTTGTTTGTTTGCCGCAATGTGTTACTCACTTTTCTTCATGACATTAAACCAAAGCTATAAATATCCATTATAGTTGAGAAGAGGTAGCTCAGAAACTTGCAAAAAAGAAAATGCAATTGAAATGGTAATTTAAAAAAAAAATAAAACAATTATTTGAAGACAAAGACTCACACCAAAACAACAAACTAGAAGTTGTAGGTTCCATCAAGTTGACCCATTCAAATGAATGGTCATAAATGTAAACCAACATCTAGTGTTTATTTAGAGTACCTTATTCACATGTGTTGCACTTAATCATGTGATGGGTTATCATCCATGTTACAGTAAAGCCAGTAGAAAAAAAAAAGACAATGAATATGACCTTGATGGGTTTTTTTTTTATTCTCATCACACTTGAATGACATGCAAATATTTTTTTTTTCGAATGATTGACATCCCAAATGCGTCAGGTGGCCAGGATCTCCTTTGACATACGTAAATTACTCCCCACGGAATGACAAGGAAGTGATGGGATGGGATGGGATGGTTCTGACGCAGACGATCTCGTCTGAGGTCAAGGTAAAAACCAAACTGTAACAATCATGGTCGAAACGAGATGGGCTAAAGGGGAGTATGATGGGTTAAAGTGGAGTATGATGGGTTAAAGAGGCGTATGAAGTGCTAAAGTGGAGTATGATGGGTTAAAGTGGAGTATGATGTGCTAAAGGGGAGTATGATGGGTTAAAGTCGAGTATGATGGGTTTAATAGGAGTATGATGAGCTGAAGAAGAGTATGACATGCTAAAAATGAGTATGATGTGCTAAAGAGAAGTATAATGGGCCAAAGTGGACTAAGCTAAATTTTAAGCTGATTTTTTATATTTTTTTATAAATTTGGTTGGTTGCTATGTTTGATGGGTGCTTTTCCATTTTTTATCATTAAAAAAAATCCCCTTATTTAGCCACATATCGCAATTGAAGAATTGACTCTCATTAAATGGTAAAATAAAAAAGCGAAAACTCTATATTTCGCTGGTAGGCCAATGTCAAAAATGAATTAAACATGAACCAGCTGGTAAAAAAAAATAAAAAAAAAATGAAAACTTTCAATTTTTTTTTCCATTAAATTATGAAATTGTGGATTTTGCTGCTTATGATTTCTCTTATAAAATGTATCGCATAGCAGCTTTGCGACCATCAGTGGAGCGCCTAGCCCTACCTCAATGGTCAACAAACTCATTAGTCAAAAGAGCCAAAAATCAGCAGCAGGGCGATTTTTTAAAAATTTGAGAGCCACATTTCTTTTCAAGAACCTGCCAAGAACCATGTTTTTCGGAGTGAAAACCGATTTGTGGCCTGCTGGCCGAGCCGCACTCAGATCGTTAAAGAGCCGCATGCGGCCCGCGAGCCACGATGAGCCGACCACTGCCCCACTACAAGTCAACGGGCAACACGACTAAATGATTGATGACCTACCCTTGGACACAGGCCCGGTTTCTGTCCACCCAGGACGATCTCACACCTTTGACCGCTGAACCCAGGGGGGCATGAGCAGTACGGGGCGTCGGCTGGGGCTATGCAGTACCCACCGTTGAAACACAGGAACCCGCGACACGGGTCAAACACGTTTGCTGAGGATGAGTCGAGAGAGATAAAGAGAGCGATTAGATCGGGCAGCACAGCTTACCGACTGCTACCGCGACGAGGAAACAGATACAGAAGTATTGATAATATTCATTATCAAAATCTTTCTTTTTTTTTCTTTTTTTTTTCAAAATGGTTCCATTTAACCAATCAGTCGGAAACGTTGCCATGTTACTGTGTCATTCCTATGAACTAATTAAACTGAATCACACAATTTCGTTAAATAAGTATTTAAAAATTATTTTCTTTAATGGATCTTACAATCGTTCAGTCTGTGATTTCATACATACAGAAAAAAATTCCCTCAAACCAAACAACATAGCTTTTTTTTTTTTTTTTTTTTTTTTTTTTTTT